TTACTAAAGAAGTCCTTACTAAGGACCCCATCACTGAAAAGGAATGATCACCAAAGGTCCATTGACACAAGCATCCTTACTAAGAATCTCCAGCAATGGCCTCAGTGGAGGCGTTCACCTGGCATCACATCGGTGTTTCATTGGCTGGGCCTTGCATGAATGTGAAAAGTGGAGGAGGGAAAAAGAGATAGAACGAAAGAGGAAGAGCAAGAAAGAAAAAGAGAGAGAGAGCGCAAACAGTTCCTCCTCTTCTCCCCTCTGTGTGGTGGGCTCTGTGAGCGAACAGCCGGGTTACCCTCCCGTTCCCTCTTCCTGAGGACTCCTTCCTAAAGGAAACCCTCACTCAGGATTTCTTGCCGACGGCATCGGTATCAAGGAATCCTGAAGAAAGGAAGTCGTCGTAACAAAAACCCTTGCTGCGAGGACCCCTCGTGCGGGGATCCGCCGTGCCGCGAGCGCAAGGTGAGAGGGAGGGGGGCCCCCCCCCCGAGGGAGGCCCCCCCCCCGAGAGCTGTCGTCGAGATCCCAGCCCCACGCATGTTTGCAGTGGGCTGGCCACAACTCCACGGACCACGATCGGAGGCCTTGTTTTCCCTGTCGAGTGGCTGTCCTCCACGAAGCCCTCGGACTGTCCAGGCGCCCTCCAAGGTACCCTGACCTGTGTCACGATGCTGGAGAAGAGGAAGAGGAAGGATGAGGAGGAAGAAAAGGAGGAGCATGAGGCGTGAAAGCGCCCAGATCTCGTGTGGCAGAATACATACAGTCGACCCGTACCAGAAGGATGCACGATAAGGATGCAAGGGCCTTGGAAGGCCGTTTCGAAGCTTTTCGAGCGGGGCGCGGCCAGCGAAAGTGGCTAAGGATGGACCAAGGAGGCAAGGATGCAAGGGTATCCTTGGGAAGATCGCACATACTTACTATGCGGGTTGACTTCCAAAATCATCCCCTGGGGCCTGGCCCAGGGCGCGCCCCGGCCAGGACTTCGGCAGGGGCCCCAGGCAGCGGCAGCGAGGATCCCCCAGGAGATCCATGGAAAGGGTGGAACAAGCCAAAAAATCCAACATTCTCCCCCCGATCCGAAGTCCTCCTCTTCCTCGCTCACTTTTGGGCCACAGCGCTGGTCTCAGGCGGCAGCTCGGGAGGATCTGAAGCTCCCCAGAGAGCTCTCGACAGACGGGGAGCGGCGGTCGCAGGAGCGCACCCCAGGGCGCCAGGGGCGGCGCCGGAGGGGCCGCCGGGGGTGCCCAGCGCGGATCCAAGAAGTCCGCGCGGAGCGCCAAAAGTTTGTGTTTATGCTGTTTTTCTTCTTCGAGACCCCAGAGCGAATCAATCCTTCGAACGACTTGCCGCACCGCTGGGACGAGCCCGCGCGGAACGGTGGCTGTTGCAGGGGCCCCGGGACACACAAACAAAGACACACGGATCCCAGGATTCCCCATATCTTTTTCCATATTTTCTGGATTTTCGTCTTCCCCCCCACTTCCAATATTTTCCCATGTTCTCCTGGGGGTCGACGATTAGTTTTGTCTGTGTGCTTTTGCTCCCCCTCCTGAGCTGTGGCGTGGCTGGCCTCCACGGCGTCGCTCCGGGGGCTGCGCTCCGCGACCCTGGTGCACCACAGGTAGAGGAACCACTCGCGCGGGGGGTCGCTGCCGCCGCCGCCGCCGCTGTCGCTACCGTCGCCGTCGCAGTCGCCGCTGCCGCCATCTCGTGGCTGAACGGAAAACAGAGGAGGAGGAGAAGGAGGAGGAAGGAGGAGGAGGAGGAGGAGAAGGAAAAGGTTCACAAATTACCCATGGAGGGACGGTCAGGAGAGAGGGAACAAAGACACGATGGGCGCCAATCCGACGTGAGTTCGATGCTCCCGAGCATGGGTGACGAGCCCTGCCTGGGCCCACCGACAAGGCGCCCCCCCGCGCCCAGACCCAGAGTCAGCCTCCGGCCGACGGCATCTCCCTGGACGTCAGGCCGCGGGACTGGGCGATGCTGCGCTCAAGCTTTAGGTCGGGCGGATTGTGGACGAACAATAAAAAATACCCAGACAATCTTCAAAAATGTTGCAAACATGCTTTAAAAAAAAACGTCCCCGGACTATTTCTTTCTATTTTTGGATATACCTCCTGTAGAGGGACAGGCCCGACTACACGGTATCTCCCTGGTTGTCAGGCCGCGGGACTGGGCGATGCGGCGCTCAAGCTGCGACTTCCGCCCGCGCCGACCCCACCCGGTGCACCGCCGCGGAGCGCTTCCTGGACGCAGGCAACCCGGCCAGGCGCGCCCTCGCCGGGCCGGGGCGCTCTCGGAGGAGGAGGACCTCCTCATCCTCCCTTATCCCCCGTCCTACATGTGGTGGTGGTGGTGGTGGAACATGTGCCCATCAGAAGAGCTGCCTCGGCCTGGGCCCCTGCTGGGCGGGAGGCGGCGCCCTCTTCTGCCGACCGCTTTTCTGGCCCCGCCCCCGCCTGCTGCCCGGCGTCTGTTGCGAACACTCGAGGCGGGCCTGTCCCTCTACCGGAAGAACACTCAGAAATAGTCAAAAATAGACTGGTGACGATTTTTGGACTGTTCTTTTTGAACATGTCTAGACTACTTCTCATTTTTCGTCCAAAATCCGCCCGTAGGAGGACATGCCCGACCGAAGCGAACAATGAGATTCCGAGCAGGGGGGGGCCGGGGACTCAAAGACCAACCTGCCCGCAGGCCCCCGGTGGGGCCCCGGGGAACCGGGCGAGGGCGCAGAGCCTGCGGGACAGTGGTCCTTCGCTCGGGGAACAGAGAAGCGAGCGGCAGCTGCAGGTCGCGCAAGTGACGACCTGCTAGGGGTCCACATGCGAACCCTACCCCTACCCCCCACGACTTCTGAGGGGAAGGGTGGGGTTCACTTCGTTCGGGAGCTCCCGAGCGAAGTGAACCCCACCCTCCCCCTCAGAAATCGTGGGGGGTAGGGGTAGGGTTCGCATGTGGACCCCTACTTCAGCCGCACTTGCCGGGCCGCCTGCCATGCCATGGGCGGTAAAGTCGAAAATGTGAGTGCAGGAACTCACGAGAAGGGGCGGGGAGAACCATCCGAGAGGACGCAGGTCAAGCTGCGCCGAAAACAACACGGGTCTAGCAGCGGATCAGCGATATCCGTTCCACTGCAGCGTGCAACGAAAAATGTTGAGCCGAAATGGCTACGGAGGAGCAGGGGGACGTAGGAGGAGGAGACGGGAAGACCCAGGAAAAAGGAGGATATCCGAAGGAGTAGGGGAAGGGAGCGTGGGGGGAAGGGAGATGATTGGTCCCCCTAGTACACACGTCCATAGTAAACTCTAGTTTCCTGCATCGCGCCATGCGAATTGTCGAAATAACTTCAGGCGATTGTACGCTGTCCAGTGGCTGTAGAAACTTAAGGCGGTTGTTTAACAGTTTAGGTGCTTCTTCCGCATCCCAACGTCCAGCGATCAGTGCGAGCACTGAAGAAAAAAAAGCGTTGACGCCAACAGCTGGCGTAGCGTGATTGCTCCCCCCTATGCCGCTCTCTCGCCGTTACTCTTACATGTTGTATCGCATCGATACGTCTGTCACTGCAACAATTCGGCGCAAAACTGGTATGACCAAGCGCTCTTTCTCACCCAAAAAATGGGTTACTCCGAGCTCTGCTGCAATTGCTCTCGGATTGTCATTATACTTTGGTCTGGGAAGGAGGACGGAGAACAGACCATTGGTTTGGTTGACCCAAAGGGGGGGTCCAGTTGAAAGCGGGTAGTGTCATAGAGTTGGGGCAATTGCATTGCAGAGCTATTGCGCCAGAGAATTGTATTGCATTGTGTTGCAACTGATGCGTTGCACGCGGACATCCAGCAATACACTTGCGCACCGGAATGTACTGCACGCCCCAAACCTACTGCGACCCCACAAATCTATTGCACCAAATCTAGTGCACCGCCCTCTCTTCGCTGGGCCCCCGGGCCAACCAGGACTCGGCCACAGCGACACCGAGGGAATGAGTCGACCGCCCTCTCTAGTGAAAACGGCCCGGGACCGAAACCGACGGACCCGGACCTGCAGAAGTGACGGCCGCGCCGCCCTCTCGCGAACCGAAAACGGCCAAGGCGCCAATCGACGTGTCAGGGTAGGAGGCCTATCGACCTCCGACGCACTGGAGCCGCGGGCGCGACACGCTGGGGCCCGGCGAGGGCCCCCGTGGGCCGTGGGCCGGGGCCGCGGGGGAGCGGCCGGAGCAGAGGCAGGAGGGCCCCCGGGAAGCGAGGAGGGCCGATTGTCAGCCAGGGCATGCTGCGAGAGCACACGCGATGCGAGCGAGGACAGCGCAAGCATGGGGCAAAGACCTCCTCATCCACCTCCTCATCAACCTCCTCGTCAACCTCCTCCGCATGCTCCTCCACCTCCTCCTCAACCTCCTCATCAACCTCCTCATCAACCTCCTCATCAACCTCCTCATCAACCTCCTCCGCGTCCTCCGTTTCAGTCCGCCTCTTCCTGGAAGCCGGTGTGGGGGGGGGGGGAGGGCGAGGTGAATCTATATATTGGTCCTCCTCTGGGGGTGTTCTCGCGCAGGGCGATGTCAGGCAATCAGAGCCGCAGAAGGCAGCTGTATGCCATCACCATGCCGGGCCAGGGTCATCCTGGGTCCTGGGACGGTGTATGGATCCTCCTGGCCTCGGCCAGACCCGCGCATGTATCATCCTACAACCCTCGACCAGATCAACCTCAAAACTTGTTGACGCACCCCTGCAATGTCGCCCCTTCACGCCCCATCAAGCCCATTCAATGTCGAAGCAAAGCGAAACGCGGCCTGGGATGGCGCGACTCCGAAGTTCTACGATGACTGACACGGGAGAGACGACGCCAACAAGTACTCCGCACGCAGTGTCACCCATACCCAGAAGATCAGATATACGAGTATTTGGTACACACACTTTTGAAGTTAATTTGTCGAGGGTAGAGGGGGCCAGAATGACCCTGGCCAGGCATTGTGGTGGTATATAGCTGCTTTCTGCAGATTGGAGGTGGTCGAGCAAGCGCCTTGAGCCCGATGATGCCCACGAGCAGGAGAACCTGCGCTGGAGAAAACTAAGCAACAACAGCGGAAGGGAGCTGGTTGGAGATGCGAGAAAGCCTGCACGTACGCCACTCGAGCACGCGCACGCCGAAAGACAGCAGCAATGTTACGCCCCCCCTGCCCCTGTCCGACCATTCCCTCCCTCCCTCCCTCCGCCCCTCCCTCCCTCCCTCCCTCCCTCCTCAGTCCCCTCCCACAGACCCCCAAATCCCCTCTACTGGGCTCCCTGACCTGTTCTGGTTACGCCATGCTTCCACTTCGCAGTGGGAGTCGCGTTTCGTCCCGAATCGCGTCCGACTAATCCTTTCCTTCGACAAGACACTCCCATGTTATTCCAGAACCTGGTCCGTCACTCGATGTGTCCCGCGACCCTGTCAGTGCGTATGAGAACTGGTGAGCAAATCGATACGGTTTTCACGCGGCCCTCTGTGTGCCTCTCAGCAGGCCACGATCTCTGCCAGCTGCGGGCACACCAGCTGGCTGGCGGCACGAAGAGCAAGGCCAGCCTGAGCCAGCACGGCAACGAGCAAGCGGGAGAGAGCAACACGGGCACGAGCACACACTCGGCGGGCAAGGGGCAAGCGGGCGAGGAGGTAAAGGCTGACACGCTAGGCTGGGGCTCCGCCCCCCGGAAATTTCAGACGCGATATGCGTCTTGCTGCAGGTATTGGCTCCTCGCGCTAATCCTCTGGCTTCGGAATCGTTGCTACAGCTGCTTTACGCTCTCTGGTATATCGGTTGTGTCGGGTAATCCCACCAGCCCTCTGGGCGTCGGTGGTTTAGGGCGTTTCCTCTTCCACCCCTCCCTCTTCCCCTTCGGGGAGGGGTTTACCCCTCCCCCTACCCCCTCCCCGCGAACCTGGACGGGAGGGGCGGGGAGGTGTCAGGGCGTCCAAAACGGCCTCGGCGAGGAAGCCAAAATCATTGCCTTTACAATGGTTTTGGCCCCTTTTTGGCCTCCTGAGGGGAAGACGCTAATTAGTGCCCCCCCCTCCTGTGATCGATCTCCTCCAAAGATGGCCCCAAGAAGCGCCCCGGAGGCCCCAAGAGTGCCCCAAGATGGCCCCAAGACGCCCCCAGGAGGCCCCCAGGAGGCCCCCAAGAGGATCCCAAGCGGCCCAAAGAGGCCCCCCCGAGGCACCCAAGACGCCGAAAAGCCCCTCGGGACGGCCCTCTACTCGCCTGGGCGTCGTTTCTGGATGGGCTGGTGGGGATACGCGAAGCGTCTAGCATGTACTTTCCCTCACTTGATCCTGAATGCGTTCGCGTCGTGCAGACGGCACGTCCTGTGATGATGTCGAAAGTACGATGGATCAACTCTTTATGTGGCCATGATACCCGCCAAAGTATGACGCCCCCCCAACCCATGTCAAAGTGCTGCCAGGTTGTCTCAAAAACTCTTCCAGCAATGCTCTTGGGATTGGAATGCGTTCACCCCTGCTCTGGCCGAATGCCTGTATCTTCTAAAGATAAAAAATTGTTCTGGCATGTGTCAAGAAGTTCGCTGTCTTTTGCAAAATCCAGCCTCTCCCTCGAATTCCGCTTGCTGTTCAGATACCCCGCCAACAAAACACAAAGCATCTCCAGCCTCCTACGAATCTGCAATGTGCGAGGCATCTGCTGCCAACGTACTACTGCGAACTCGTTGCGTTGACTTCGAACTGTGCTTCATTATAGCTGCACGTACCTTCGCGGTGTCCAAAACATTGTGTTCCACAAGAAACTGAATGTGGATTCCAATGCTTTTGTACATGGCGATATGTCGTTGCTCTCGGGGCGGCCGTTTACGTCCCCCGAAATCGCACATAATGATAACCACTGCTTTCTTGAAACCTATGCCAGCAAGAAATCTCCCCGTGTAGTATGCTCCTCTCCCGCCGTCATTGATGGCCTTGTTCACCTTCTCCGTTTCTGCCACAAATGATTCTAATATAGCCCCGAAGGCCTGGACGCTGCAAGCGCCAAATCCACTCGAAACTGAATTCGAAAACAAGAGGCGTATCCGGTCGCCTCTCGTAATGATGTGATATCATCATCTGTGAGCGGGTTGGTCGGGTTGTTCTGCCTGTCGCGTGCGATTTACATACCTCTCAGAGTCCGCGAATTAGCCTCGCCATGACTCCAACATCACCGTTTTCGAGCCGCTGTCTATCACGGCCTCGAAAGCCTAAATCCTCGTTCTGCCATTTGAAATATTCAGCTTGGCGCGCGCGCTACCTTTCCATATGAAGAACAATTCCAGCCAATAAATGATCTACATGCGCGCCAGGATACCGGATAAGGATCATGCGGCGTCTCGTAAATTCGCCGACCCTTCGGCGTGTGTGAAACGTTTTTCCGTTTGACTTGTCGTCGTCGTCGTCGTCATCCTCGTCGTCGCCGCCGCCGCCAGTCCCAACGAAACTAAAGCACAAATAAATTGAAGAACGTCGTAGCTAAGTCAGAAACTCTTGGCTTCGGTCCCTTCCCTGCAGGGTGGGGGGGCGGGGGTCCCCCAGGGGAGGGGGGGGGGGTACTGGGGGGTTTCGCCCGGCAGAGTGAGGGGGGGGCCCGGTCAGAATACCGCCACTCCCAGGGAATCCAGGAGCCCCCAGAAGCGCTAAGACGGGCCGAGAGTGCCCCAAGAGGCCGCATAGACGGTCCAAGAGGGCCCCGAATCGCTGAGCGATCGGCACAGGATGCCCGAAATAGCCTGTAGGAAGCCCAAGAGGCCTCGAAGACGCCCCAAGAGGCCCCCAAGAGCACTCCCACGAGGACCCCACGAGGCAAACTTCATTGGTTCCCATTGAATTTTGACAGATTTGGGCGTTCTCGCCTATTAAATTTTCCGACGCTCCCACACGGCCCCTGCGGCCCCCGAAATCGCCCCAGCACGGCCCAACAAGCCCCCAAGCCGGCCCCAGAAAGCCCCAAGAGGCTTCCGAAAGGCCCCCAGGTGGGTCCCAAGAGTCTCAAGAACTGCCCCCCGAAAGACCCCGAGAGCACCCCGGAGAAACCCCGAGAAGCATTTCTGATGACTCTGACCTACGTCAGCGTCGTCGTCGTCGCCACCGTCGCCGTCGTCGTCGCCGCCCCCTTCAAACTCGGTTGCGCCAGCCGCAAGGCCTTCGCAAAAACAAAGAAGGTTCCAAAAGTGACCGCGCGTCTCGAGCACCTCACAGCAGGCTAGCCAAAACAAATGGGCGGCCGCCGCGAAACCATAGATCGCCTTCTTACCGTCAGCTGAGGGGCAACGATAGGGGGGACTGGCATAGGGGGGGATGCATCGTTCTGGAATCGGCGATACATCGCCGATAGATCGGCGATAGGCCTCCGATCGTGAATCCGCACCTTCATGGGCAGGTTGGGGCTATCGGGCCCCTATTGGCGATCAGTGGGCGATTGGGGGTCGATGCATCCCCCCCTGTGGCTATCCCCCCCTTATCGTTGCCCCTGATCAGCAGACGTCTCGGACGTTATCGTCGCATCCTTCCGGCGACTGCTGGATATATGTATATAATATCATATAACACCATATACTATAATAAAACAATATATGGATATATATATATATATACACTATAATATAATAAAATGTGACCTACTATCATACAACGCAATACATGACAACATATTATAACACAATGCAATGCAATACAACACAATACAATACCATACAATACCATACAATACAATACAATATGATAATACAATAAGATCATATAATGTATTATAATATAATATACTATAATAAAATATAATACCATATATTATAATGTAATGTAAACAATGCAATAAACTGTAATATAATATAATACCATATAACATAATATAATATAATATGTAATGCTATATAACACTGTATATGATAACATAATATAATATGATGTATAATATAATATATAAACAAAATGAGACAATCTGGTATAATATAATATAATATGATTTACGATGTTGTAATATGGTACAATGTAATATACTGTACTATGATATAATACAATATGGTATGACATGCGATAGTTTTATATATCCTAATATACTATGAGATAATATACTATAATAAAATATATTATGACATAGTATAATATAATATAGTGTAATATACTATGATAAAATGTGGTATGTTCTGCTATAATACAAAACTATCATATAATATGATATAGTATGATATGATATAATTTGATATACTATGATATAACATGGCATACTATAATATACCATAGTGCAATATAATAATGTGAAGTGATATTATATAATATATTGCACTCTACTGTATTACGATATATTGTGATATGCTTTAATCTACTGTAATACACTATAACACAGCATTATATAAACTATAACAACATTTGATTATAACATAACATAACATAATAGTGTATAATATAATATTGTATAATAATTTTCAAATAATATTATGTTGCATGGTATAAAATAATATAACATATTATGTTATACTATAATATGATATGATATAATGTATACACACACTCTTCGCGCCCGACACCTCTGTCCTAAAAGCACGCGCGCCTGATGTCTCCGCGGCTCATGATCATGCGGGCACTGGTTATGACGAGCAAGACTATGGCCTCGGCAAGGTCCGAAGCAATCGGAGCGTCTCTCTGATACTCTCCAGGGCTCCTGTCCTGGAAGCCTTGCACGACCACCCCGAACTGTGCTTCGAGCTTCCCAGTCCTGGCGCTGTCGCCTGCGTCGGTCCTGACACACTTCGCCGCGCTGGTATAACCAGATCGCGATTCGTCTCCCAAATCTTCTCGCGATACACGGTTCTCAGCGCTTCGCTCGCCTCGAGGTCCTGCTGTGCCTTCCGCTGCTCCGAACCTGAACCTGCCGGCCCCGCGAAGGACGTTCGCCCGTCGTCTGGGAGCTCCTTCACGCGGATATCATTCCTGCCTTTCTTTGCCGAAGTCTGCCCTGCTGGCACGCGCTGGACCTCGTTCCTCTCGGTACCGATGACGAAGGCTCCTCCTGCGACCTCGTCCCAGGCGTAGAGGGCGCGATTCGTCTCAGACGTCGCGATGGCTGCCTCCAGTAGAGAATCTCCGTCGTCGCACACATCGAATGCGATGCCTCCGTTTTCCTGGGCGAAGCCAGTCCATCACCCAGCAATCGCGCAGTCATCCCGCCTCTCTCCCTCGGCCGTCCCCTCGGACGGCCTGGAAGGACCCCCCCTTCGCCGCCACCCTTGCTGGGCCAGGGCGACCCAGGCGCCGCGGGCGCGTGGACTTCGCAAATATCTGGGCCCGACCCAACGCCGCGGGTCTGCCTCGGCCCGTCGCCCGCTCTCCCGCTCTCCCGCTCTCCCTCTCTTTTTCTCTCTCTCTCTCTCTCTCTCTCTCTCTCTCGGCCTTCCCGCCGTCGTCTCGGGGCCCCGTCGCTCGATGGATCCCGTGCGGGGCACCGCCTGGGAGGAGGAGGAGGAGGAGGAGGAGGAGGAGGAGGAGGAGGAGGAGGAGGAGGAGGAGGAGGAGGAGGGGGGGCGCCCTCCGTCGTCAAACCGCCCCCCTCGCCCCCCGGAGGCTCGAGCGACGGGCCCCGCCCGCGCCAGAAGAGGGGCGCCTCTCCTGGCAACGCAGGGGAGGGCGCCTCAGGGGAAGGCTGCGCAGGGAGGAGGGAGGAGGGAGGAGGGAGGAGGGAGGAGGGAGGAGGGAGGAGGGAGGAGGGAAAACCATCCGCCCACGCCCTTCCCGGGAGGGAACGCCCTCCGCCCTGGCGCGTTGAAGCCACTGCTTCTAGCGACGCCGGCAGCGTCGATCAATCCGCCCCCTGCGCGGACAAACCCAATCCCAGCTTCCTCGGAAACCGAGGCCACCACCTCGGCCCGGCATGCCCGCCGAAAACTGAGGGAAACTCTGCGCCCGATCTACGACGACGCCGACTCCAGGCTCTCCTGCCCATGACCCCCAGTAAAACTCTTCTCCAGCACTGTCGCTGACCTCGCCATTTTGTGCACCTCACCACGTAGAGCACCCACATGAAAAAAGAACTACCCAAGCAGGTGCGAGCGCGCGGAAAGGGCGAGGGGAAGCTGAAGCAACTCGGTAGCAAAAACCGAAAATATGATGAGAAAATCGCATCCGCATCCTCCTCACGGCAGCCCTGGAGGGCCTATGATATCGAGTGCGGAATAGGCGGGAGGAAGATACCCTACCTTCGGCGACGGTGACCCTCGAACCTGGTACTGGAGTCAAACTGCAGTCCTCCTACATTGGTACGGCAACAATCCCTGCCCTAACGAGAGGGGCCCTGATTCCAGACACAGCACGAGCCGCTCAATCATGAATGATCTCTGCTCTGGGAGGGCCCTAGAGGCTCCCGAGCCCCATCCTTTGCTCAACGAACCGCACACACCACTCAAACCTCTAGGGAGGACAGGACAGGACAGGACAGGACAGCCGCCGATATGCGCACTAGGGGGCGCCCCTCTAAGAGCTCGGCGGGGGCGCCGGAGCGCCGAAACTCAGATGTCGTAGTGGCGCCCCTCCCTGGCGCTGGACCCCCCTCCCTGGCGCGCGGAGCGCGCCAGGGGCGGCGCTGGAGGCGCCGCCAGGGGGCCCGGGGGGGGGCAGCGCGGATCCTAGAAATCCGCGCGGAGCGCCAAAAGTATACGCTTACGGCGTCTTTCCTTCATCGAAGGGAGGGCGTTCAGCCCTGGGGGACGGCCGCGGCGGCGTCGCCCCACCGCATCGCACCGGCGCGACGCCTGCCGCACCCGCGGCGCCGCCTGGCGCGCAGGGCGCGGCAGCAGCGGGGCGCAGAGGGCCGCGCGAGGGAGCCGTGTCCCACCGGAAGGCCAGCGGCGGGGGCTCGCTGTCCCAGTACTGGACCAGCTTCATCGAGGAGGTGCTGATCACCTGGCAGGTCTGCGCTGGGTCGGATCGTGACATATCGGATCGGATCGGGACATCGGATCGCGTCGCCAGCGAACCGTCCCGAATCGTATCGGCATCGCATCGTCCCGCCCCGCTTCCGGCTGGCCCTGGCCGATGCTGGTGACTAGAGCCGGATCGCATCGAATTGTCGGGGGGGCACACAAAGGTGGGATAGGGGAACAGGTAGGGTTGGAGGGAAAATCGCTCCGAGCGGCCCCTGGAAAAAGAACACGCGTTAAACGGGAGCATCACGCTGGGCCCGTTCCCCAGCCCCGCCTTGGGAGAACCCTCCCTCTACGAACCCCCGAGCATCGAATTGGAATCGCGGCCCCAACCGGCGAATCGAATCGCCTCGAAGCGGATCGTAGGCGGCCCTGCCTCTGAGAGTCAGGGGGGCGCCCACTGCACACGCATGTATGCACAGGGCGAGGCCCAGGCCGAGGCGCTGCCCGAGAGGCAAGAGGGGACTGCCTGGAGGCTGTGGGCACTGCGGGCAGGAGGCGAACCAGGGGAGCTCGTCCCAGGCGCTCCCGGAGAGCTCACGGGCGAGACGGGAGACACACGAGGGCCACCCAGGAAATCCCCATACGGCGAGCCAGAAAATTCAAGAAGGGCGCGAACCGGGAAAACTTATCCTGGCGAAAGACCCAACCATATGCAATTATGAGAACCGAAATTGTGAATATCTTCTTCGGTGGCGCTCCCTATGGGGCCACGAAACGTGTGAGGGGTGTGCCGAAATGGGTGTGCGGGACGCATGCGGGCACACCCACTGAGACCTTCGGTGGAGCTCCCTATGGGCCCACGAAACGTGTGAGAGGTGTGCCGAAATGGGTGTGCGGGACGCATGCGGGCACACCCGCTGGGACCTTCGGTGGAGCCCCCTACGGGGCCACGAATGGGCCCACGAAACGTGTGAGGGGTGTGCCGAAATGGGTGTGCGGGACGCATGCGGGCACACCCGCTGGGACCTTCGGTGGAGCTCCCTTTGGGGCCACGAAACGTACGAGGGGTGTGCCGAAATGGGTGTGCGGGACGCATGCGGGCACACCCACTGGGGCCTTCGGTGGAGCTCCCTATGGGACCACAAAACGTGTGAAGGGTCACGAAACGTGTGAGGGGTGTGCCGAAATGGGTGTGCGGGACGCATGCGGGCACACCCACTGGGGCCTTCGGTGGAGCTCGCTATGGGGCCACGAAACGTGTGAGGCGTGTGCCGAAATGGGTGTGCGGGACGCATGCGGGCACACCCGCTGGGACCTTCGGTGAGCCCCCTACGGGGCCACGAAACGTGCGAGGGGTGTGCCGAAATGGGTGTGCGGGACGCATGCGGGCACACCCACTGGGGCCTTCGGTGGAGCTCCCTATGGGACCACAAAACGTGTGAAGGGTCACGAAACGTGTGAGGGGTGTGCCGAAATGGGTGTGCGGGACGCATGCGGGCACACCCACTGGGGCCTTCGGTGGAGCTCCCTATGGGGCCACGAAACGTGTGAAGGGGTATGCCGAAATGGGTGTGCGGGACGCATGCGGGCACACCCGCTGGGACCTTCGGTGGAGCCCCCTACGGGGCCACGAAACGTGCGAGGGGTGTGCCGAAATGGGTGTGCGGGACGCATGCGGGCACACCCACTGGGGCCTTCGGTGAAGCTCCCTATGGGACCACAAAACGTGTGAGGGGTCACGAAACGCGTGAGCGGTGTGCCGAAATGGGTGTGCGGGACGCATGCGGGCACACCCACTGGGGCCTTCGGCGGAGCTCCCTATGGGGCCACGAAACGTGTGAAGGGGTGTGCCGAAATGGGTGTGCGGGACGCATGCGGGCGGCAGCACTGGGACCTTCGGTGGAGCCCCCTACGGGGCCACGAAACGTGCGAGGGGTGTGCCGAAATGGGCGTGCGGGACGCATGCAGGCACACCCACTGGGGCCTTCGGTGGAGCTCCCTATGGGGCCACGAAACGTGTGAAGGGTATGCCGAAATGGGTGTGCGGGACGCATGCGGGCACACCCACTGGGACCTTCGGCGGAGCTCCCTATGGGGCCACGAAACGCGTGAGGGGTGTGCCGAAATGGGTATGCGGGACGCATGCGGGCGGCAGCACTGGGGCCTTCGGTGGAGCTCGCTATGGGGCCACGAAACGTGTGAGGGGTGTGCCGAAATGAATGTGCGGGACGCATGCGGACACACCCACCGGGACCTTCGGTGGAGCTCCCTTTGGGGCCACGAAACGTGTGAGGGGTGTGCCGAATTGGGTGTGCGTGACGCATGCGGGCGGCAGCACTGGGGCCTTCGGCGGAGCTCCCTATGGGGCCACGAAACGTGTGAGGGGTGTGCCGAATTGGGTGTGCGGTGACGCATGCGGGCGGCAGCACTGGGGCCTTCGGTGGAGCTCCTATGGGGCCACGAAACGTGTGAGGGGTGTGCCGAATTGGGTGTGGGTGACGCATGCGGGCGGCAGCACTGGGGCCTTCGGCGGAGCTCCCTATGGGGCCACGAAACGTGTGAGGGGTGTGCCGAATTGGGTGTGCGGGACGCATGCGGGCGGCAGCACTGGGGGGGGGGAGAGCTCCCTATGGGGCCACGAAACGTGTGAGGGTGTGCCGAATTGGGTGTGCGTGACGCATGCGGGCGGCAGCACTGGGGCCTTCGGCGGAGCTCCCTATGGGGCCACGAAACGTGTGAGGGGTGTGCCGAATTGGGTGTGGGTGACGCATGCGGGCGGCAGCACTGGGGCCTTCGGCGGAGCTCCTATGGGGCCACGAAACGTGTGAGGGGTGTGCCGAATTGGGTGTGGTGACGCATGCGGGCGGCAGCACTGGGGCCTTCGGCGGAGCTCCTATGGGGCCACGAAACGTGTGAGGGGTGTGCCGAATTGGGTGTGGGTGACGCATGCGGGCGGCAGCACTGGGGCCTTCGGCGGAGCTCCTATGGGGCCACGAAACGTGTGAGGGGTGTGCCGAATTGGGTGTGGGTGACGCATGCGGGCGGCAGCACTGGGGCCTTCGGCGGAGCTCCTATGGGGCCACGAAACGTGTGAGGGGTGTGCCGAATTGGGTGTGGTGACGCATGCGGGCGGCAGCACTGGGGCCTTCGGCGGAGCTCCTATGGGGCCACGAAACGTGTGAGGGGTGTGCCGAATTGGGTGTGGGTGACGCATGCGGGCGGCAGCACTGGGGCCTTCGGCGGAGCTCCTATGGGGCCACGAAACGTGTGAGGGGTGTGCCGAATTGGGTGTGGGTGACGCATGCGGGCGGCAGCACTGGGGCCTTCGGCGGAGCTCCTATGGGGCCACGAAACGTGTGAGGGGTGTGCCGAATTGGGTGTGGGTGACGCATGCGGGCGGCAGCACTGGGGCCTTCGGCGGAGCTCCTATGGGGCCACGAAACGTGTGAGGGGTGTGCCGAATTGGGTGTGGGTGACGCATGCGGGCGGCAGCACTGGGGCCTTCGGCGGAGCTCCTATGGGGCCACGAAACGTGTGAGGGGTGTGCCGAGTTGGGTGTGCGTGACGCATGCGGGCGGCAGCAAGGAGGAGGGGGGAGAGGAGGAAGGAGGCGGGAACGCGGGGCACCGTCTCTTCAAAACGAGGACCCAACACCACAGGATGGTTGGGAAAAAAGTTGGGGAGAAATCGTCCAATCTACAGAACCGTTCTGCTTTAGCTCATTTTCCTCCTCTCCCGTAACCTCTTTGAAGAGCAGTGGACGCCACCCTGCAAATTCTGCTCTCCAACAAAACTCTGGGAACGCTTCCAAATACATGCGCGAATCGTGACGGGCCTGAAATATGAATTCAAAGAGACACCTTACAGGAGCAGGCAACAGTAGTGCAGGGCGCCTCGATGGACGCCATGCCCATGACGACGGCGCAAATCATCACCTCGAGTCAGCTGACGAGTACTAAAATTGCAGGTCAAGAGCATGCGTCAGCGACCAGATGAGCTGTGATCCGCCGGCCCCCTTGTGGGGCCACCAGGCTGTAGGCCGAAGGTTCGCAGTTTCCTGTACCAGTTGCAGCTTCCAGTTTCCACTGTTACAGTTTTGCTTATTGCTGCTTACTGTTCCTTGTTGATGGGCCGCGCGAGGGGTGGATGCCCAAAACGTGCATTTTTACCACGCCCAAAACGGGTAGAAAAAATTACACCCCTCACGCAGATCGGCGGGGTCAGGGTCCAAAAACACATTGGATTTGCCACACTTCTGAAATTTGCTGGCACCCCTCACGCAGATCGGTGGGGTCAGGGTCCAAAAACACAAGGGATTTCCACATTTCTGAAATTCGGTGGCACCCCTTATGCAGATCGACGGGGTCAGGGTGCAAAAACATAAGGGATTTCCTACATTTCTGAAATTCGGTGGCACCCCTCACGCAGATCGGCGGGGTCAGGGTCCAAAAAAACATGGGATTTGCCACATTTCTGAAATTCGGTGGCACCCCTCACGCAGATCTGCAGGGTCAGGGTCCAAAAACACATTGGATTTGCCACATTTCTGAAATTCGGCGGCACCACTCACGCAGATCGGCAGGGTCAGGGTCCAAGAACACAAGGGATTTGCCACATGTTCGGCGGCACCCCTCACGCAGATCGGCAGGGTCAGGGTCCAAAAACACAAGGGACTTGCCACATTTCCAAAATTCGGCGGCACCCCTCACGCAGATCGGCGGGGTCAGGGTCCAAAAAAACATGGGATTTGCCACATTTCTGAAATTCAGTGGCACCCGTGACGCAGATCCGTAGGGTCAGGGTCGAAAAACAGGTCCCGACACTGCTTCACGGCAGCGCCCAGACCTCATAATTTACCTTTTGCCTCTCCCATTATCCGAGACAGGGGGCCGGCGGCATGAGGCGAAGCCCTTACGGATATCCAATTTTGCCTGTGTCAGATCTGTGCGCGCCCATCTTACATGGACTGCGGGAAGGTACGCACATGTGAAAACGCCGATGATTGCAATGCTCAACTCATTCTCGTGATGCCAGCGGGTGGGTCCCGCACAGATCTGGAGGGCATGCAGGGCATCCCGGGGCGCGACCCCCTGGGCGATCCTGTGGGCGGGACCACGCGGGTGGCGATCACGAAATCCGCGCAGGCGGGTGCCTCCATCGGGGAAAGATGATCCTGGGAGGGGTTGAAGCCCCAGGGAACGGTAACCCTTGGGCGGGGTGGGGCACGTTGGGGCGTGGGTGTGCTGCGATCGCCATAGTATCCGCGCGAGCACGAGCATACAATCGTTGCCGTTACCAAAGAGGGCTGGGTAACGGCCGCTACGCGCCAAAGGATGAACCGCAATCTCGAGGTGGAGCGAGGTGGAGGTGAAGAAAACGGGGACCATGACTCAGACTGAACGTGGCAACGTCGTGTCGACCTTGGTCACCGTCGATCTCGGTCAGCGTCAATTCGTGGGTCGTCCTCGCGAAGCGGGAAACGGCCGACAGGGACCATGGCCAAGATCGGCATCGACAAGATCCCGCGACATCTTGGTCCTTGTCCCCGTGTCTCTTCCCTCGACGTGAGGGGCACCCTCCGAGAAGAGGGCAGCGAGCTTCCTTGGGAGGTGAGGGGCAACGATACGGGGGGATAGGGATAGGGGGGGGAAACATCGACCTGGAATCGGCGATACATCGCTGACAGTGGATTTGGGCAGAAAAATGAAACACTCTCAAAAAAACACAACTTGTCAGAAATAGTCGAAAATCGTCCCCACGCTACTGTTTTCCTATTTTCAAGCGTTCCTCCTGTAGAGGGCCACGCCCGATTTCACCCTATGCCTACTCTGGGTTTCTGAATAAGCGTGGGGTGGTACCCCCGCGCCGGGGGTCAACCTCGCCTCGTCGTCGCGCCGCGACGGGGGTCGGAGCGCCTTCGGCGCGCGGTGGCTGCCCGCGACGGGGGTCGACGTGGGGCTGTCGACGGGTGCGACGCCCCCCCGACGCTGGTTCGGAAACTCGGAATATCCCCCCTTACCTACGCAGGCCGAAAGATTTTCCTCTTGAGCCCCACATGTCGGAAGCGGCGCGCCGATCCCCTCTGTTCTCCTCCCACCTCCTCTTGCCTCTTCCCTCATCCTTCCCCTCTCCATCCTGGGAACGACCCCCCTCCCCCGTAGAATCATAGCGTGGGGCTGTCGACGGGTGTGACGCCCCCCCGACGCTTCTTCGGAAACTCTCGGGGATGGACAGACCTCCCTTTAGTAAAACGTGGTTTAGTGAAAACGACCTCGGGCCCAAACCTGGCGGGCGCAAGCCTGGAAAATAACGGCCGCGGCGCCCTCTCGAGAACCGAAAACGGACAATTCACTAATCGACGTGTCACTATTGGGGGTTCTGTCCAGCCCCGAAACTCGGAATACCCCCCCCCTCATCGCTGCCCCCGGGGAAGAAGGATCGGCCCGTGGCCGGGCGGTCTCCGACAGGCAGGTCCGGAGGGCCCCCACCCTCGCCCCGCCCCCCGCGGACGCGCGCAGGCCAGCAGCACGCGCGCAGACTGCCACACTCGAAGGGGCCCAGGGACACACAGATAGAACCACAGGGTGGCTGGGGGAAAATACTCCAAAAGGTCAAGAAATTGTCAGACAAAATCGTCCCCTGACTGTGTTTGGACCAGTTTGGATACTCCTCTTGTGGACAGGCCCGACTTAACACGAGAGACACTTCCCGTCGTGACCGCTTCGGGCCTCCAGGGGGTCCCGCCGGGAGGAGGCCTCCGGCGTGGATTCCCCTGGGGCCGTCGGTGGAGCACCCTATAGGGCCAGGAAACGTGTGAGGGGTGCGTCGAAATTGGGGTGGAACAGCATGCGGACCCTGCCACTGGGGTATGGGGCCACGAAACGCGTGCGGGGTGCGCCGAAATGGGGGTGGAACTGCACGAGGACCCTGTCAGGCAGGGCAGCCTTCGGTGGAGCACCCTATGGGGCCACGAAACGTGCGAGGGGTGCACCGAGATGGAGATGGAACTGCATGCGGACCCTGCCGCTGGGGCCTTCGGAGGAGCACCTTATGGGGCCACGAAACGTGTGAGGGGCGCGCCGAAATGGACCTGAAATTGCACGAAGACCCTGTCACTGGGGCCGTCGGTGGAGCACCCTATGGGGCCGCGAAACGTGTGAGCGGTGCGCCGAAATGGAGGTGGAATTGTATGCGGACCCTGTCACTGGGGCCGTCGGTGGGCACCCCATGGGGACACGAAACGTGTGAGGGGTGCGCCGAAATGGGGGTGGAACTGCATGCGGGCCTTGTCACTGGGGCCTTCGGTGGAGCACCCTATGTGACCACGAAAAGTGTGAGTGGTGCACCGAAATAGGGGTGGAACGGCATGCGGACACTGCCACTGTAGCCTTCCATGGAGCACCCTATGGGGCCACGAAACGTGTGAGGGGAGCGCCGAAATGGAAGTGGAATTGCACGAAGACCCTGCCACGGCGGCCTTCGGTGGAGCACCCCATGGGGCCACGAAACGTGTGAGGGGTGGCGCCAAAATTGAAGTGGAACTGCATGCGGACCCTGCCACTGGGGCCTTCGGTGGGGCACCCTATGGAGGACATGCGGAGGGCAGAGGCACGGAAGGGAGGAGGGAGGAGAGGGAGGAGGGGGAGAAGGAGGAGCAGGAACGCGGGGCGCTGTCTCTTCAAAACGAGGACCCAACTCCAAAATAATCGAAATAACCCTGGCGAACAACCCAACCATATGCAGTTGTGAATACCGTCGTTGCGGGTATCGCCTTCGGGAGATCTCCTCACGGGGCCATGAAGCATGCGAAGGGTGTGTGTGTGTGCCGATGTGGGGCGGGGCCGCCACTGGGGCTCTCGGTGGAGTTCCACATGGGGCCACGAAATAATGTAACGGATAGGGAAACGCATGCGAGTACAGCCACCGGGGCCTTCGGTGCAACTCGCCATGAAGCCACGAAGCGCTGTGCTGGGTGGGGGGAGCGCATGCGAACACTGCCACTGGGGCCATCGTTGGAGCTCCCTATGGGGCCACGAAACGCTGTACTGGGTGGGGGTGACGCATGCGGGCGATGCCACTGGGGCCTTCGGAAGAGCTCCCCAGGGGCCACGAAACGCTGTCCGGGTGGGGGTGACGAATGCGGGATCCTTCGGTGGAGTTCCCTATGGGGCCACGAAACGCTGTACTTGGTGGGGGATGACGCATGCGGGCGGTGCCACCGGGGGCTGCGGTGAAGCTCCCTATGGGGCCACGAAACGCTGTACTGGGTGGGGGTGACGCATGCGTGCGGTGCCACTGGGGCCTTCGGTGGAGCTTCCTATGGGGCCACGAAACGCTGTACTGGGTGGGGGAAGACGCATGCGCGGTGCCACTGTGGCCTTCGGCGGAGCTCCCTACAGGGCCACGAAACGCTGTGCTGGGTAGGGTGTGACGTATGCGGGCGGTGCCACTGGGGCCTTCGGTGGAGCTTCCTATGGGGCCACGAAGCGCTGTACTGGGTGGGGGTGACGCATGCTGGCGGTGCCGCTGGGGCCTTCGGTGGAGCTCCCTATGGGGCCACGAAACGCTGTACTGGGTGGGGGATGGCGCATGCGGGCGGTGCCACCAGGGCCTGCGGTCAAGCTCCCTATGGAGCCACGAAGCGCTGTACTGGGTGGGGGTGACGCATGCGGGAGGTGCCTTTGGGGCCTTCGGTGGAGAATCCCTATGGGGCCACGAAACGCTGTACTGGGTGGGGGATGACGCATGCGGGCGGTGCCACTGGGGCCTTCGGTGGAGCTCCGGGGCCACGAAACGTGTGAAGGGTGTGCCGAGGTTGTTGACACGCGGAGAGCAGAGGCAAGGAGGGGGAGGCGGGAGGAGGAGGAGAACGCGGGGTGCCGTCTCTTCAAAACGAGGACCCAACACCACAGGATGGTTGGGAAAATCATTCCCTGACTATTTCTGGACTATTTCTGAATATTCCTCCCGTGGACAGGCCCAGGTTGACACGAGAGACACTTGCCGTCGTGACTGCTTCAGGCCTCGAGGGGGTCCCGCCGGGCGGAGGCCTCCCGGGTGAAGCAGCTCCGCCGCGAGGGGTGCGCTGGGGGGGGGTCGCAGACCGCCGCGGCAGGCAGGGCGCAAAGAGAGAGAGAGAGAGAGTCTGTCAAGGGGCCCAAGGACACACACACACACATAATATCAACGCACACTCACCCACACACACACACACACACACACACACACACACGCGCACAGACACACAAACACACACACACACACATTCCCAGGACTCCCCTATGTGTTCCCACATATTTTCTGGATGCTCGTCTTCCCCCCCACTTCCCATATTTCCCCATCCTTGCCTGGGAATCGGCGAATATTTGAATATGTGTGTCTGCCACTTCGACAAATTGGAGTGCGGGTACGGCCTTCCGGACGCCCCGCACGCAATCACCGTGAAGGCCGCGGAGAGCGAGCTCCCGACCGTCTTCTGGGGCGACGCCGAGGCTGGCGCGTGGAGATCTGAGTCATGTACACTTGGCTCAGGTTTCGAGTCGGCGCAGCCTGACTTGACGCGCCGCGGCTGGTCCGCAGTCCAGATCGATGAGAATATGTTGCCTGCACGCACGATGTATGGCCCTCTCACCAGCATCCAGACTGTCGGTAAAGCTGAGCGTTGGGCGGTGTACCGTTTTGTGAAGCATGCCCCGGCCAACAAAACATGTAGTTACTGATTCGGCGAGTTTGGTTTCTGATGGTCTCTCCTGGGACTCCGCTCTTGAGAGCTCCAGGGGGAACCATGCTAGGATTTGGAGGCTCATTTTTGGCGCTGCGAGTTCCTGCGACCCTCCTAGCTTCACTAGGGCCCCTGCCCACAAGAGCCCTGAAGAGGCCCTCACTCTCGGGAACCCCCTCCGCCAGTGGGTTGGAAATATGTGTGTTGACTGGTTCGCCGAGCTCGAGGCGTCAGCGCATGCTGTGTCGACTGTCCACGTCGAGTATCTCTCGTCGGAGTTCCAGCGTGCCAAAGCGATCCTCTGATACGGTTCTTGGGCGGTTTGTCGGGCGGTGGAGCTCGACCTAGGGCATGACCCGCCTGAGTCTCGTGTTCAGGTGCCCCGCAAAGTTCTCTGGACCCCTGTGAAGATCGTGTCTCACGACCTCGTTCGCGTTGAGCCGTCCATGGAGGCACGGAACCGCACGTGCTCCTGTGTTGCCCGCACGGACGGGCATTTGGCGCACGATTTGAATGGTGAATGTAAGCCGCTGCCCACCCTGTCGTGGACAGCCCGCGTCTTTCTTCTCGAGGCCTGATCTGGTGGTCAGTGATTTCAGGGATCCCGTCTGTGGTCGGTGCGCGTTCGCCGCCCTGGCGGCAGCTGAGGAGGTCCTGGGGCCTGCGCCTGCGCCGCCAGGGGAACCACCAGCTGGGCTCGAGGCTTTTAGGGAACTTAAACATTTTTCTGCGACCCACGGGGCAATGATATGTTGCACCCAGTGTGGGGCCACCACGTCGGGGGAGGAGTGGAGCGGGCGCTCGTATCTGAATTCAGCGTGTCTGGGGCCATCTTCCAACCCTGCCACCAGGGCTGACCAAAAACGGAAGGCCGAGATGGCGGGGAAAGGTATCAACCCCAAAACGGGGGCCCCATTGCCCCCAGCGGCCTGAACTCGTTCGGCTTTATTCCTGAGGCCTCGCCTCCCCCGTCCGCCACAAGTGGCTAGGGGTGTCCCGCGCTCTGGCCCTGCGCGCCCGGCTGCTGCTGCCCGCCCGGCTGCTCATCGCCAAACTCTTCGGCGTCTGAGCGTCCCTCCCTGAGCGAGCAACGACATATGTACATGTACGCCCTCCGCGGTCTTGAGTGCACGAACGTCCTCGTTCAAACGCCCTCCAGGGGAAGCTAACCGCGTACGTGTACATATGTTGCTGGCCTCTGACTCCCTCCTCTCGGCCGTCCCCCACTCCTTCTCTGCACGCCGGCCAATTCGCCAGTCAGTGCTCTGCTCGCTGGTGCGGATCTCGCCGCCTCGCCGCGGACGGAAAAAATGCTCCAGGGCCTCCTCCTCCTCCTCCTCCTCCTCCTCCTCCTCCTCCTCCTCCTCCTCCTCCTCCTCCTCCTCCTCCTCCTCCTCCTCCTCCTCCCTCCCCCTCCCTCCCCCTCCTCCTCCTCCTCCTCCTCCTCCCCCTCCTCCTGCCTCTCCCGAGAGAGAGACGCCCTGGGCAGGCGGCCGCGGGCGGGCAGCGGCGCGGCACCCCAACCGGCTCGAGGCGCGTGCGCCCCACCGGGTACTCCTCGGGGCGCGCAAAGGGGGCGGCAGGGCAGGAGGCAGAGGCGTGGCGCTCGGCGGGGACGAGAGAGGGGGATGGCAGAGGGCAGCGTAGAGAATCCGCCGACCCCTTGTGGGTCTCTAGGCGTGTGAGATAGTTCCCCCCCCTATAGTCCCCCCCCCGGGGCCCCAAACCGGCGATTTGACCCCCCCCCCCCGGGCCCGGGACGAGCGCCTCCGGGGCTTTTCCGGGCCCCAGGAAGCCTCAAGACGGGCCAAGATGGCCCCAAGAGGCCTTCAAGACGGCCCACGGGAGCCCCGAGACGCCAAACGAGCGCTCCCAGACGCCCAAGATGGCTCAAAGACGGGCTAAGAGGCCTCCAAGACGGCCCAAGAGGTCCCCAAGAGGCCCCAAGAGGCCTCCAAGATGCGTCCCACGAGGGTCCCTAGACGTAAAAATTTGCCCATTCCCTTCGTAAAACGTACATTTTTCACGAATTCGCTTTTTGGGCTTTCGGACGCTCCCAGACGGCCCAAGAGGCCCTAAATACCGCCCCAAGACGGTCCAAGCAGCCTCCAGGGAAGCTCAAAGGCAGCCCAAGAGAGCCCCAAGACAGCCCAAGACGCGCCCAAGATTGCCCAAGAGGGCCCCGAAGACGGCCCCAAGAGCGCTCCAGGAGCGCTTCAAGTGGCCTCCAAGAGAGCTCAATATGGTCACAGACGGTCGAAGAGCGATCAAAGACACCGACGATCGCCTCCAGACGGCCCAAGACGGCCCCAAGAGGCCCCAAGAGGCCTCCAAGATGCGTCCCAGGAGGGCCCCAAGAGGCCGCCAGAGGCCCCCAAGAGGCCGCCAAGACGCCCCAAGGAGCCCCCAAGAGCCCCCCAGGAGGCCTCCAAAAGACCCCCAGACGCTTCCGCATTGCGAGCCGTCAAGCCAACTGCAATGCACTCCGCGCATGCAGCCTTGCTCTTCCTCGCGACGTGCTCACAATCTTGCTCGGCGCGAATGTGCTGCTGCTACGCGAACTGTTTCGTGCGCGCTGCGAACGTCAACAGCCTCTTCACCCGTTTCGACTCATCTGCCACATCTTTCGCGGTGATGCTTCGCTGATCACAGCAAACATTTGGACCCCCTACGTATCTGCCACCACCCGCGCGCGACACCGCACCCTCACACAAGACGCCGCTGGCCAGAAACTCCTGGTCTCGCAACAGTCACAGAAGGGGTCGGCGGATGTGGCGTAAGCCTGTAGAATCAAGCTGACTTTCCTGACTTTCCCAGCGCCTCCCAGCGCGTGGAGGCGCCCATGTATCGAGGAATGGGCCCGGCGGCGGGGCCGAAACCAGCTGCATGCAGCAGATTTCGTACCCCCCCCCTTTCCCGATCCCCCCCTTTCGTTCGGCCCGAGTGGCAGAGAGGGCTCGAGCACAGCCCAAGACGCCCAAGACGCCCAAGATGGCGAGAGGCCCACACGACGCCCAAGATGGACTCCAAGACGGCCCGGAAGCGCCCCAAGAGGGCCCCAAGTCGGCTCAGAGAGGCACCGAAGACGGCTTCCGACCGCGTCAGACGACGGGCCAGGAACGCCGTACAGTCGGCCCGTATCAGAAGGATGCGCGATAAGGATGCAAGGGCCTTGGACTCCCATTTCGAAGCTTTTCGTGCGGGGCGCGGCCAACGAAAGTGGTCAAGGATGGATCCAGGAGGCAAGGATGCAAGGCTACCCATGGGAAAATTGCCCATCCTTACCATGCGGGTCGACTGTGTCGGATCGATGACAGAATTAATATACTTCCGAATTCTAAACTTCCGTCGCAACTAAGAACAATGGTAGACGCGTAGGTTCAAGAACATACTAACTATGTTTCTAATTATAGATAGGGCCGACGACAATTTCCAATTATTGGGTGAATCAATTCTGTAGTCGATCCCCTGCTCGGATGGCACCAAGAAGGGAGCGGTGGAGAGGGCAAAAGCGCGAGTCAAGGATGCAAGACCCTTGGGCATCCGCACCGAGTCAACTTCGGCAGCACACGGCCGGACGCAGACGGCCTTCCATGTCAGTCAGTGGCCGTGCATCCTGCGAACGCGTCCCTGAAGCAGTCAGAGCAGGGCAGTGCGCCAAACGCGCTGTGATGATGACGACGTGATGGGATCAAGCATGCACAATATCACCAGTAGAGTTACGCAAGGTTGTACAACAATACACCATGTACAGTGGATAAAAGGAGAAAGCAAGGACGCAAGGGGAGCCGTGATGAAGCACTGGATCTGCACTTCGGGCTCTGCCCATGTGCGAGGCAAAGAAGCGGGCAAGCACAAGCTTCGGACGTCCGCCGAGGACAGGCTTCTGCCAGCGCCGGACCCCTTCCCCACGCACACTGCCCTCCCCCGCGCTCGAAGAGCGGCGCGGGGCAGCGTCGAAGGCGTCGCCGAGGGGTGTGGAGAAAGGGTCTGGCGCCAGCGGAAATCTGCCGTGCAAGGACGACCAAACTGTGCATTCGCGTGCTCTGCTGGTCTCCGCTGGCACTGTAAGAGTGAAGGGTGTGCGACACTCCAGCGCAGGGGCAATTCTAGCGGCTGATGCGTGCTTCCGCTCGTTGTCTCGTCTCGGGCTCTTTCGTCGCTGCGGAGGGAATCAACGCCCTTACTTTCGGGCGTTGACAGAACTGGGTTTAGTGTGACCTGGTTTAGTGATGTGTACGGGGGGACGCCCTCCCCGCCCCGTTCCACTAACCGGAACTGCCGTCACCCGAAAAAACACCAGCTACGGCAGACCTGGTTTAGTGATTCTGGCAAATTGAAGGGGCTTCGGGGCCCTACTACTAACAGGGTCCCCTTACCTGGGGTCCTGGCTATACCCGATACTTGTACATGACGCATTGAGATCAGAAGCATGGAGCATAGACGCAACAAGATCAAATAAGTATGATAAGGAGAAGAGCCAGCATCAATACAGCACATCAGCCTCCATACGCGTTCGATGCAAAGCACCGCATGGACCGTCTGAAGGAGACGAGGACCTTAAAGTGCAGAGAGCCAGAGGGCCCCAGAGACGAGGCTACCTTAGCTTGCCCAACGAGGCGTACAGGCAGCGAGGGCCAAACGAAGCAGCCGAAGCTGGAATCAACCCGAAAAGGATGGGATGCGCTGGCTGGCGCTGAACTGTTTCCCTCTAGCGCAGAGCAATGACGAACCAACAACACACACCCATACCCATAGGGGGGTCGGGAAGGGCTATGGGTGCGTGTCGCACCCCCAGACGTGTCGGTAGGGCGGACCGGGCGTTTCACCTAAGACTTCCTCAGCATGTATGATCCCGAAGCTTGAAACCTGCAAAAAAATCAAGGGTGGAGGGGGGGTGCTCTTCAAAATGTGGCTCCCGCCGCAGCACCGCGCTCGTGCGTCTTAAACGTCTGAACCAGTTTCAAAGATGGAGGGCGCTTCCCTTTCAAATGTGGCTCTCGCATCAGTGCCGCGCACATTCATCTTCAAAAGTTGCAACAGCTTCAAGGAATCGCATGGCCGAAGTCCTAGGAACGGTAGTATGGCACGGTCTAGACTTGTCATGGCGCAACAGTCACGTTAATTAGCTGTGTTGTCCCAGGAATGGCGATCTGGCATGATTTAGGACCTTCACGACGCGCCAGTCACACACGCTGATTTGCAGCTCTCAAATCCCAGGAATGGTGTAGTGGCACGATCGAAGATTCTCAAACGGTTGATTCCCCATAGAACACCTCCCACAATATAAGTACTCTGCTGTAGAGAACCATGAAGAGGAAACTTGGAGGGAGGGTTTGTTACAACATCGTTGATGCGTCTTGGGTTTGCACTGGTCCTCCTCCTCCTCCTCCCTGAATCCACGGCCCTGGCACCTGTCCATCTTTGGGACAAGTGTCCAAGGGGCCAGGCGTGCCGGCTGGATGTCCAAGACGAGCTAGCTGTACAGAGGGGGGGGCTCCTCCTGATCCTGCTTCTCCTCCTCCTCTTCCCCCTCCTCCTCCTCCCTTTCCTCACCCTCCTCCTCCTTATCCTCTCTGATTCCTCCTTATCCTTTTCTTGCCTCCGTCTCCTCCTCCTCCTGCTCCGCCTCCCGCACCTCATTCTGCTGTTGCTGCTGCTCCTCATCGTTATAATCATATCCTTTGCCCCCTCCTCCTCCTCATCATCATCTTCCTCCACGTCCTCTTCCTCGTCCCCTCAACTCCCCTCCCTTCTTGTCCTCCTCATCCTTCTCCTCCTCATCCTCCATCCCTTCCTGCCCATCTCCTCCTTCCCGCCTCCCGCTCCTCCTCGCCCAGCACTCTCCTCAGAGCCGCTCCTCCTGCGTGCCGCGCTGGGCGAGGTGGTTCGTCCACCTGCGGAATGCAAAAGTTGCGCAGCAATGACGACGACGACAAAGACGACGACAACAAAGAGGACGACAAAAACGCCGACAAAGACGACAACGACGACGACAACGACGACCCGTGGCACACTCTTCAAACAGGCATGCTTCCCGAAGCGGGCCCCCAGAGGCCCGGAGTCAGAGAAGCTGGCCGTTCTGATTTTCACGACGCCCGAGATCTGGGTGGGATCGCATTGCCTGAAGTATAGTAAGACGGCGACAGCGACGACCGCCACCACCACCATCACCAACACAATCGTATGTAACGCGATCCTCTCTCCATCAGGAAAGCGCGTCCACAGCTGCCCATACCCTTGAAAAAAACGACCAGCCCGCGTGCGCTTCCCTTTGTGGGGAGTCCGCTTCGCCACCAGCTGTGGGGGGATCCCACGTCGCGCAAAACGATATACGAACAAGGGGGCTGAATGTACAGGTGGAAAGAGCAGTGGACACGGACGAGCATGCGTTATGTACGTTGGAACGTACCATCACCGATATCACCAACACCAAGGGACGGGGAACACAATATCTCTTTGGATATGTTCTCATACACTGGTCGCTGTGTTCGACATGGGTCTGCAGGGTACTTACTGCTCGGGTCCTGGTGGAGACTGCTGGCGCTGGCATCGTGGGGTGATGTTGTCGATAATCGTAATAGGCTCAGAACTCACGGCGGCCTGTGAGATCCAAAATTGCTCAAGCGCCCGACTCTTTCCGCACGAAGACTGGGCGACGCATTATTGAAGAACCCTTTGAAAGCTCATCTTCTCCACTCCACCTCGTCCTTCTCCTCCCCCTCATCCTCGTCCGCAACATCACAGCGACCAGCATCGTCGGAATCATCATCATACTCGTCATCACCTCCTCCTCTTCCTCCTCCTCATCATCCCCGTCATCCTTCATCTCCTCCCCCTCGTCCTCCTCCTCCTCCTCCTTCTCCTCCTCCTCGTCATCAGCATCATCATCATCATCAGCAGCAGCAGACGCACCACCACCACCAACATCGTCATCACCACTACCACCACCATCGTCATCATCATCACCAGTATCATCCTCAGCAGCATCCGCATCCTCAACATCATCATAATAGTCATCATCATCGTCATCATCGTCATCAACCTCATGATCATGATCAGCAGCATCATCATCATCAGCATCGTCATAGCTATCATCATCAACATCATCCCCATCATCAGCATTGTCACCACCATCATCATAATCATCATCATCCTCATCAGCATCAGCATCAGCAGCATCATCAGCATCCACGTCACCATCCACATCATTCCATGTGTCACCCTCAGCAACATCATCATCAACATCATCAACACCATCATCATCATAAACGTCATCACCGTCATAATCAGCATCAACATCATCATCACCACCATCACCACAATCATCATCATCATCATGGCAACCGTCGCCATCGTCATAATCGTCGCCATTATCGCCATCAGCATATTAACCGTCATCGTCATCATCATCATCATCATCATCATCATCATCAGCATCATCATCATCATCAGCATCATCATCATCATCATCATCATCATCATCATCATCATCATTCATCATCAGCAGCATCATCATTAGCATCATCGCCACCACCATCATCATCGTACTCACCATCATGGCAACCGTCACCATCGTCATAATCGTCGTCATCATCATCACCATCAGCATCATTATCATCATCATCGTCATCATCATCATCAGCCTCATAAGCAGCATCATCATAATAATCAGCAACATCTGCGTCGTTATCATCATCAGCAGCAGCATCATCATCATCGTCATCATCATCACCACCACCACCATCATAATCAGCATCAGCAGCATCATCACCACCACAACAACCACCATCATCATCATGATTATCATCATCAACATCATCGTCATCATCATCAACATCATCATCATCATCATCATCGCCATCATCATCAGAAACACTATCAGCATTATCATCATCATCATCGTCATCAGTATCAGTATCATCATCATCGTCATCATCGTAGTCATGATCATCGTCAGCGTCGTCATAGCTATCATCATCCTTATCAAAAGCACCATCATCACCACCATCATGATCATAATCGTCATCATCGTTGTTTTACCATCATTATCATCATCAGCATCATCAGTACCAGCATCAGCATCATCGTCAGCATCATCATCACCATGATCATTACGATCACCACCACCGTCGTTATCATCATCACCATATTCATCATACACCTCCCCCGATTTGCTCTTCCTCCATTACCGTTCCTTCTCCTCGCCCCCCATTGCGAAACCTGCCGGGAGAACAAATCACCAGAATCCCCACCGCCCGAGAGCCGACAACCTCCGAATAGAAGGGGGCCATCGAAGACCATCCATCACTCATCCGTACTTTCGTCCAACACTGTTTCCGAAAAACACACGCGCAGAATACGGATGTAAATCCCTCAGTATCACATCTACTCCACTGCTCCTCCCCATCCGCCTCGTCGTCCTCATCCTCCTCGTCCTCCTCCTCCTCCTCCTCCTCCTCCTCCTCCTCCTTGCCTCGTCGTCCTCCTTATCATCCCCCCATTCGTCCTCCTCATTCTCATCCTCCCCCGACAGCTCCGCAGGTCTCTCCCGCGGGCGCTCTGCAAATCGGAGCCGACGCTTGCCCTAGACGATACCCGCTGGCCCCCCGAGGGCAACCGTTGCCGAACGCCCTGCTTCCTAGCTCCTGGCACGGGCCACCCCAAGCGGAGGGATGCGCCGGCTGGAACCTACACACTGCGCTGCCCGGGGCCACGGCATGAATCGCGAGGACCCGTCCGCCAGCGCGCGCCGCCAGGCTAGCCAGCCAGCCCACGCGCTGGCCAGCGCAGCACCCCCGTGCCCAGATCCTCCCCACTTTCGCTGGACCGCCGCCAGGCGGCCGTCGCCCTGGCGCGCGCCCTGCGCCGCTCGCATGGGCGCGTGGGCGAGAGCTACCCCTCAGAGGCAGTCAATAAGACCCGCGTCACCGCGGGGAGGCACTTCCGCGCCCACGGACTCACCCTGGCCAGCGGGCCCGCTCTGGCCATCCCAAACCTGTGCAAGCGGCGCGGGAGGCAGAGGTGCCACGACGCCGCCTGGGCCGCCGCCGCCGCCGTGAGCTGGACGCTCGGCAACCCTCAGCCCAACGGCCAGCTCCCCAAGGAAGAGCTTCTTCCGGCTCAAGGTTTCCAGCTGCTGGCCACAACAGTGCTGCACTTCCGCTGGGAGCGCCGCGTCCAGGGCGCGGGCCGCTGCCGATGGGATGCCTCACGCGCGGGCGAGGTGCGCGCAGTCGGAGCTCGTCCGGACGCGTAGCATCGATGGGGTAAACTGTCCGTCTCGCCTGGCAACCTGAAGCTATGTCATGGGGGAACCAAAAGGTACCGTCACCGCTACTCCCTGAACCTCTCTTGGGGCACGTTCTGAGCAGAACTTCGGGGCGAATCCAACAGTGGCGACGAAGGCCTCCCAGGAGGCCCGTAAAGGCGAAAACGAAGCGAAAGTAGCGGTGTTATAAACTTTTCCTCCTCTGAATTGAAGCGGGAGCACGGTCGCGCCCAGGAGGGCCATCGGCTCTCTTCTGCCTAGCAGACAGTACCATCGGCAGCTCGCCGTGGCGGAGCACTAGAGCCCTCTCCCACCATGCCTCCTCCTGCTGTTTTCGCTCCTCGCTCTCGTCCACCTCCTCTCTCCATCACCCCCACCACCACCACCTCCTCCTCCTCCTCCTCCTCCTCCTCCTCCTCCTCCTCATCCTCCTACCCATCCTCCTCCTCTGACAGTTCCGACCGCGGCCGTAGCAAGCCGGTCGGCCCTCAGGGGATTACCCATGTCCTCCTCCTGGCAAGTAACCTGGAGCGGAAGTCGTAGAGGCCACTGAACACCATAGACCTCGGCTAGCACCTGTGGCAAAACATCGACGACATGTTCGGGTGTGATGCGAAATCATTATGGTCCTGGAAACGCCTGTATTTTCATCATGTGAAATAAAGTCACGCGTGCTAAAACCTAAAAAACCAAGAATATGGCCTACCATACTGTTCTCGGGTTCACGGAGCCTGGTAACCGTGGTCCACCCCGGGGAAGTAACTCAACAAACGCGTGCGCAAGAGTTTCCTCGAAGGCTCTGGGTACACCTGATTCGTAAGGGCCAGGGCAGCGAAGCGTTGAATATTTTTCGTCACCGTCGGCAATGGCTTGTTGAGCAGCGGCCGCCGCCTTTTCTCCCGCGGCCTTCCACTTATGGGAAGAAGGAAAGCCTCTGGAGGCGTCGCGTAAACACGCAATCAGCGGGGGAGACTGCCACAAATCAGGCGACAACTGGTCCAGATGCACTTCAACCAGGGGCAGGTGGGCCGCTGCTTGCGCCCCCAGGCGCTCAGAGATTTCATAGCTCCACAAAAGGTAACCAGCGAGAAACGGATCAACGCAGCACGACAGGTCACTCCCGCGCCCCCGAACGCCCCCCCCATCTAGGGCCAAAAATCCCCGCGAAACTCAGAGCACAGTGCGGCGCAGCGGAGAGCCATACTACACTCGCATGCTCACGCATTCGGTGCCAGGCTGGCAGAATGCGAGACTGGCCGGCATAGGACAAAGCAAAGATCGCACGACCATCGCACGAGAGCGCAGCGACGGCAAGCGGAGCACGAGCTTCGGCCTACGGAGAGGTGCGACACTGGTACTTACTGGACCCTGTCAAGAGTCCTCCACAACTTCTCGGCCTATCTCGAGGCCCAGGCACACCGTGAAACCCGCAGCGAGAAACTCGGTCCATGCCAGCAAGCTCCCCCGAATCCAAATCGAAATCTGCCATGTTCAAAGCTGTCGTGCACGGGGCAGCGGGGGGCACTGAACAGCACTCCATCGGTTTCAAAAACAAACCAGCAACACGCCCGGACGCTTTGAACACCTTAAAAGGTTGCCTACATAATTGAATAAAACAGAGCACGG